AACCAGAAGGCATTACAAAAATGGCTATACTGGAAGCTGTAAATGCATGAAGATGTCATGTTTAGAGAAGCTTTTTCACGTATGTGACCCTGCCCATACTTCTTTCATAAACACCACGCACATTGCAAAGGCATATTTTAGGGTTTTTTTTCCTCCTGATACAGAGCAATTGCCTTACCAAACAAGCACTTCTCATCCTGCATATTATTTGCCAGGTTATTTCCTCTTTCCCCATTCAAATAAATCCTTTTGAAGTTCTTTGTCAGCGAAAGATTTTCCATTCTACCTTACTGCTGTGCCATTGTACTCTCTCCAACTGGGAAGGCCCACACATCTTATTAACCTATGAATAGGTGATAGACCAGACCTGCAGAGAACAGAGGCTTCCCTTTGGTTTCCACAAATGGAAGGAAAACATGACAGCAGCCTAAAAAAGAAAACTGCCAACTATTTTCTTTGATTCAAACAACTGAAACCTTTGGAGGGATTTCCTGATGTACTTAAAATAGTAATGGTGATGTTGCAACCTTCTAGACATTTCCCCAAGGATCATCCCACTTAACTCAGTAGAACTTATTTCTAATTGGACCTGTATATGATTGCTTTATAAGATTTCAGTGCCACAGCTGGCTCCAATAAACTGAAAAACTGCTTCCCTATCAGCAGAGAAGAATTATTTTCACGGAAGAACACTAGGAAAGACCATCCCATCACCTTTCCCAACAATGGAGAAAAAAAACTATGTCCCTGGGAAAGGGACTAGGAACTGTCTTCCCCTTGGCCTTAATGAGCTGATTGTTCATTTTTAAAAAACGAAACAAGAGTTCCTTCCCTCCTGCATGAAACAAATTCAAAAGAAACACATTAAAGTTGACAGGACTAGAAACTACTTTGAAGACAGACTGAAAAAACTGACAGTGTTTAACATAAAGAGGAGACTGGGGGCGATATTCAAGGGCACTGAAAGGATGTCAAAGAGAAGAAGATTGAGATTCAGTCTCTGGTGTTTCAGGGGCAGGACACAGATGAACCGATTTATGGTATTTAGTAGGAAAGCTGCCAGCAACTGCATTTAGAATTGGACTTGATAGCGCGCATAGCCTCTTCCAACCTGCCAATGATTTTATTTCAGTGGCCCTAGGAAGGAAGAAGGGAGGCCAGAGATTCTCCCATGCCTCAGTAAATTGTTGGTCCATCGGACAAATATGCATAACATGATTTTAAGAAAAATATTTTATTTCCCTTTCATTTCATTAAAAACTCGTACACATTTTCAGAATGATACTCTGCAAATCCAGTATTCTGTCTCCAACACTGACCTCTTCTGGCCGTAGCTGGTGAAAACTGAGCAGTTTTCAGCCATCAAGAGAACAGGGCAATACGTTCCAAATTGTGTTGTTAGTCTACGGTAAATTATTTTGTGATCTCAAAGTAATCTTTTGCAGAGGAAGAGGCCTCATTTATCTTTGCAGGATGTTCTGCTGAGATCTGGTCTCTCTCTCTTGGGCCACTTAGAATTATAAGTTCTGCCCATCACTGCATCCCTAACACAGAAACGCATTTGAATTAAAAGCTTGTTTAAGAGGCCCTACATCACATCCCTGTCCAAGTCTCTTCCTTATCTATATCTCTTCCAATCAGGTGACAGCAAAGGGATAATTTTTCAGCTTGTGGACCAGCGGGGTGGGGGTTGGGTGGGGATGGTTCCCCTCATACAAATGGAGTGTAAGTGGGGATGTCTGTGCACGCTCACTTACCACTTCTGTGACTGGGAAGGGTTGAAGGCCCAGTAGTGGGCCGCAGCCTGAGGGTTAGGGACCCCTGTCCTATGTGAGTGAAAAGTTATATTTGGACAATTGCTACTAAATTAAATAGAAAATCCTGGTGCAAATAAAATTACCTGCTAGAAAATGCTACTCCAGATCTGCTTCTGAATTTAAATTTGACAGCCTTCAGCTATTTCTTTCACAATTTTTAAAGAAATCTAGTTAAGAACTGTCTACACAGGATATCCATTCCAAAATACACCACAGCAAGAACTTCTTTGTATTTCAGGTATTGATTTTCCACTGTAGGATAGAAAAGTGAAAAGAATTTTGGTTTGCTTCAAAAGTAGATCCGCGGATCCATTTTCACTACAATCTCTAAAACCGTAGACTATTAGAGATATGTATTCCAAAGGTTCCCCTATCAAAGCAATTTTTCTTCCAAACTGGGGATTGTACGTGCAGTGTGGTCTATGTAGACTTGCATTGGAGGTTCAGAAGGAACTCAATACAAGTCTGCAATGCCAGAAGCAAATCTTGATGCAGCCATTTTCCCACGTGATTAATTTGCTGCTTTACTCACTAAACTAGCATCTTCAACCTACAACGTCTGATGTGTTGAACCACAACTTTTCTTTTTAAGAGTGGTAGAGACACATCACCAATATCTTGAGGATGCCAAAATATTAGTGAAATGTTGGTTGAAATAGCTTTCCCAAATAGTACTTTTCAGATGTACTGAACTTCAGCTTCCAAAATTCCCAGCCAGTATTGTCCCAAAGATTTAGAGCAGTATTATTCAAACTTGACCGCTTTAGGAAATATGGACTCCCAGAATGTCCTAGTCAGCAAGATGGGAAAAGTTAATTTTCACATACTTTCCTGGTCCAGTCCTCTTTGAAATTGGTTTCTGCTAGCCTCTAAACATTATTTTTGAAATACAAAAACATTTCTGCTTCTCAGAGTCCCTTTCTTCTTGACAGAATTGACCAGGCTTCCTGAAATTGGTGGGGCAATTTTGGAAGTCCCATCTGGAAGTTTCAGACACCCGCTTGTGTTAATGAAAGTAGAGAAAAATAGTTCTTTCTTTTTTTGCATGTGCACTTTTTTTGATGGGTGTTTTCTTATCCTGTTTTCCAGCGTCACCAAGCAACAGCTGAGGGTCAGGTCAGTAAGGATGTTGTATGCCTTGAGAAAACTGGGTGTGGTACATTCGCCATCACATATAAGCTTCTCCTTTCCCTACGATGCACACATTTTGATCATTACAAAATCTTGATTATCTCCAGACCAAAACTGGGCTCTCTTTTTATTTCCTCTCTCATTTCATAATCCCCTCCACTTTTAATTATGATACAAGCTTCAAATGCAAGGCAATATAAAAACCCCAGGCATTGCAATCACACAGTTCTATTTCTGCTGAGTTTTTTGGTTTGTTTATTTTACAAAACTTGCAGGATTATTTGCCAATGAGAGTTGGCAAATAAAATTGGAGTGCTTAGTGTTTCTGTGAAAAGGTATAATCATTTCATTCCCCCATGCCATTTCAAGGTTTTCTGTACCTCCCTCCACTTTTCCAAAATCCTGTATTCAAGGAACAACTCCCATTCCTTCATCTTTTTTCTCCCTTCTTGTTTCTTTATTGGGAGATGGGAGAGAAAAGGGATATGCTTATAACCCAAGCCTAATTTAAAAAAAAAAAAACCCAAACAAACGAAATTCTTCAGGAGACAGGAGCCAAACTAGAATGGGGATGCTGCTAAGAGATCAGGTGGCAGTTCCAAACGACTAAGACACATTGATACATTATGCTGCTTTTTTCGTCCACTCCAAACTTCAATCTAAAAGAAGATGGGGGAAGCAGTTTGTTCTTGAAATAATTTTGCCTTCAAGCACAATGCAAACAGTCCTATGGGCCGAAGCATTGCTCTTTGGTAGAGCTTTAAAGTATTTCTGTTTTGCTCATGTCCTATTTGCTCAGTAAACAAACAAAAAAAAACCCACTTTTTTTTTTTGATCCAGCAACCTATTGCCTGCAATGGCTAATATCAGAAAATGCACAAGCAGAATATTGCAGGTGGTTTATACATCACCAGGGAAATTTTGATCTTTTAGACTGTCTCCTTAAATGTAACTAAATTTTGTTATACTGCTTATAATATTACGCAGACTTTATAGCCTGGCACCAATTGCAATTTTTTTAGCTGGTTCTGTTTTTACTTTATTTTTAAAGTGTTTTTGTTGCACAATATGTTTTTATTTTGATCAGTGACCATGATAAAAATATTATATTCTGCTCACTTTAGATTTATACATTCTTTAAATAATCTTTTAATTTGGTAAGCATGCAAAGTACAGAATAACCAACAGTACAGTTTAAATATATTTACCTAATTAAGAATGTACTTCCTAGATTATTTTCTTAACCCAGACAAAGGCAAAGTTTACTTACAAGCAAACATTTGCAGCAATTAAAATTATTTAAAAAGGAGAGGGGTGGGTCGGTTGCCGATTAGAAAAGACACCAAAGTTCTCAGTTATTCTATAGAGTACTTTATAAAGTATGGTAAAATACACTGAAAGATTAACAGCTTGCATTATTGAACTAATTTGGATATCTGCATGGAGGGGGCAAAGAATGACAAGTGTGTAATGCTAACGATATCATATCATAATCACAATTTGTTACTTGCCTCAGACAATGTGACAGAAATACAAAATGTGGGCAACTGCAGGATGATGCCAGTGCACACACGTCATCATTTTGACCTTGCTGTAGTTTATTATAGCTATCTATGCAATTTGTGGGGGCAGGAAGATCCAACTATAATAAGCAGATGTGGGATGAGATAAATAGGACAAGAATCAGCAAGCAGAAAAGCATCACCCATATGTTATAGTGATCAGAAGGCAACAGGTGAAAGCAGAGAGAACTGATTGCCAACCTACTTTCCAGAAAGGATGACGTTCCCAAAATTGAAAACAATAAGTTCAAGATTTCCATTTCTGCTTCTATGTTCAAAACTGAACACAGAGATGCGAATCCATGTCTGATGTAAACACATTAAATTTTATGGTTCTATAATAGCCCCTATGTCAATTCTAAATACCTGTAAGACAAACTGAATGAACCTAAACCTCTGTTTTGCAAAATTTAGATCATATCGACCTGAGTTTTATTTCCAGCAGGGAAATGGAATCTAGTGGCCCTTCTGTGAACATCATTCTTGCTAGTGCCACACGACCAAGGGCCAATTAGAAACATGCTGCCCTAGCCCTAAACTAAAGCAGATAATCAACAGATAATCACCAGGCAAGAACTCAGGAGTTATTATGCTCCCCCATTGTATACTCATATGAGATCCTCCTTTCTGGTCTAACACAATTAAGCCAGTAGCAAATCAGGCACAGGTCATACTAGAATGAAAACGAAGTAACTTACACTGAAATCATAAACCCCCAAACAAAGGAGGAAAACTTGAAACTAGAGTAAGTTACGTTTGAAAGCAATCTAATACCTATTGTATAAACCCACAATCCAGTATCAGGCAAGGAACTAATCAGATGGATTCTTATGTAGAAGAACTGCCAACTGAAACATGGAGCACACTAGATGGTCAGCCAACAAAATCACATCAGTCAAACACAGTCAAACGTAAATGCATTGCAAGCCACAATCACCAATCTCAGTCCATGAAACATTGTTAAGACTTGCTAGAGTGTCCTGGATCTTTCTTTGTTTCCACTTTGGGGGCCTTCAACAAACTAAGTTTCTTGGGTAACTTAGCACTGGCCTTCATTACCACCTCATGCTCAATCTTCTTACGGATGGTAACCTCCAGATTCTGCAGAAAGAGGAAGAGAGAAAGGCTAAGTTTATAAGAATGACAGCTAGGCAACTAATGACAATTAAGCAATAATTGCTTAAACCTGTAAATGTTCAAGTGTCTTGCTAGATTTATGAACAAAGGTACCTTTCAACTCCCTAAGAAGCAAGATCTTTTTGTGCTATTCGGTTGTCCTTCAAATAAAATACACATTAAATCAGCATAATGAATCCAAAAATACCTATATTTCCAAGGATTTTTGAAAAAACGTCAATAATTTAAGACAAGGAAAGCACCCTGGGAAAGAAGTTTTGTAGACGTTGTACTTAAGTGAAAAAACCCTTCACACATCATCAAATCCAGCTCTGCCATCAGGCAAAGTGAGAGTTCTTCATATAGCTGACCTTGGATATTACACAATAGCAGTATCTTCATATTTGCTGGAGCTGCGAAATATGATTTTGAATAGAGGGCAGGCAAAAGATGCCATTTGGCTTCTGGTACCTATATATTAAAAGGCTAGACTGCGCCTACCAGGAGCACCACCATGTTTTTCACATCTATGCAAGTTACTGTGGAAGTAGACATAGTATTCTTTTTCAGTAGCCATATAGGGTCTTAAAATCTACACCAGCACTTTTAATTGTACTGACAAACAAAAAGACAGTTAATGAAGTTCTATAATGTAGACAAAACATCTTCATAGTCAGCCGTCTAATTAAAAATTCTGCAGCTAAAATTTTGTATGCACCACAAGTTTTGAATCTTCTTCCAGGGCTACGCATTGCAGTAGTTAGCAGACCATAGATAACTGGCTAAACTATTCAAGTTCAGAAAAGGATACAAATATGAATTATGTCACATTCCTAGACTTGTAGTAAAAACAAACTCTGTGCCATCGAAGGCAATTATTGGTGGACAAAAGGCTGAGATTGAGTGACAGCACACCTTTTTCACTTTCTGTTGCTGGATCACACGAGTTTTCTTGGGTGCAATTACACGACCTGTGAGAGGAACCAAATAATTAAAATATATTTTGTTGTTGCATCAATGTCTCATGAAAAAAAAACTACATTAATTTGTATCAGATTTGTTCGATTTCCCCAACATGGTGCCTTCCACATACAGAAGACTTACCTGTATTTCCCATATTTTGCAGCCTGCATGATAGCATTTTGTGAAATAATCCAGCCACATCTGGAAATCACCAGATTGGGGGAGTGGCTGGTGTTTAGAATACAATCTGTCCAACACATGTCCTTATTGCCACTCTGAAAAAGCTCTTTAGCACACTGTGTGCTACTCAACTACTGTTGCTGTTCAAAGTTTTTTTGAAAAACAAATGAATAATTGGAAGACTGTTTGGAAAGTTTGTGTTTAGAAATCTTCCATAATAACCCTAAGGATCATGCAAACTTGCACTAACCAAAGTTGGCGTCAATAAAGGAGAACGCCTGTAGCTTAGGGCTGAAATGAAGTGTCCTCGGTGCTCTCTGAGCTTGAGTATTTTCTTGCAGATGTTTCATTACCCAAACTAGGTAACATCATCAGTGCTAGTGATGTTAGACTACCGTTGATAATGCTACCTAGTTTACTAAGTTCCAACAGCACCAAGGACTCCTCAAAGCTCAAACATAAAGTAACTGCTAGTGCTGAGTAAGCAGGCTACTTCTCTGGTTCAATTTTATAACACTTTGGTTTTTTGTGTTACCCTTAAACAGCTTCAAGCACTGTACACAATGGTTCCCCCACATCCCCTTTTAGAGCAACCTCTAAGGTAAATGAGGCTCAGAGACAGCAAGTGGACCAAAGGCCATTCAAGAAACTTCATAACTTCACAGATCTTCTGAACCCAGTCCTACCTAAAAATATGAAGCCTGAGGGGTATGTGGATTATCCACAACCTGCTTCAATAAGACGCATCATCTTTGATGCACTAAATCAGTCTTTCTCAAACAGGGCAACTATGAGAAGCATGGACCAACTTCCAGAATTCCCCAGCCAGGCATGGGTGGCTGGGGAATTCTGGGAGTTGAAGTTCACGCCTCCTTTAAGTTGCCCCAATGTGAGAAAGACTGCCCTACAGTGAAGCATATCTCAAAGCTGGGTCCATCTGCTTTGCTTCTGTCACAAGTTTCACTCCCAGGAAGCGCTTAAACTGAAGCCTCAAGGAAGTAAAGGGGCTTTCTGAAGAGCAGCGTATAGTTTATAGCTGCAACGAGCTTTCGGGCACTCTGTAAATCATGGGTCTTCCAACTTGGCAAGTTTAAGACTTGTGGACTTCAACTCCTAGAATTCCTGAGTTAACATGAATGGAGGAGGAATTCTGGGAGTTGAAGTCCACAAGTCTTAAAGCTGTCAAGTTTCAAGATTCCTGCCCTAAATACTGAGACGAGCGCTCAATGACGACTAGGGCTCCAACTGACTGCTATTCGTCCATCGATTAGGACCGAGATGGTAACGTAGCTAACACAGAAGCTTATTACCCCCACGGCCACGGCCACTGAGTGCTGCAATAACCCTCTGAAGCTCCACACCATCCATATGCTGCTTAGTTTTTGCTTAACCAGAGTGTATAAAAAGCCCGCTCTTCCTACGAGCCAAAAGAAAGATGGACGACTCTCAGCCCATGCTTCCTGTTTATGGACGAAGCAAGGCTGGCGCTCCTAGTCCAGCCTACCCGCCCCCCCACCCGCCACCGGCGCCTTTCCCCAGCTATACCTCCTTTGCGAAGTCCGCGGGCAGCAGCAGCCGCTTTCTTCCCCGCAGCGGCCGTTTTGCGCGCCTTGAATTTCTGCTTGCCCTGAGCCATCGATTCCAGCCAGTTCTCCGCCTCCCGCCCGACGCTCGCTCAACCCCCGAGAAGCAGAGCCGGAACTGCCCAGGCGCTGCTGGAATAGAAAGCGTCCCTGACGCCGCCGTTAAAGCGCTTAGCCGTTTAGGCGCAGCCGCGAAGTTGGGAGCTAAAAAGCAGCAGCGCTTTGCGTTGATGTTTGCGAAAGCCTTCGCTTTTCGATTAGGTCTTCAAACTTGGCAAGTTTAAGACTTGTGGACTTCAACTCCCAGAATTCCCGAGCTAACCTTGACTGGAGGAGGAATTCTGGGAGTTGAAGTCCTCAAGTCTTAAAGCTGTTAAGTTTGAAGGCCCCGGAATGGAAAGGGGTTGATGCCGAGCAACCGGTAGTGGGCCACAACCATACCAAGCCATTTGTTCGTGGCTAACACACAAGGGTCATAGGAGGACAATTTGATTGTGGGAGACGTGATTTGTTTCTAAGCGTTGCGTTAGTTCTCCTGGCTAAAGGACCACGGTACTGCAGTTGTTGTTTTAATTTCCTTGGCCTTGTCACTTCGGCCCGGAGAAACGGCAGGTTTGTTTTTCACACGAATTGAGTTTCATTTCTGGGCAGCCTCTTTGTTTTCTAGCTGGAAAGCTTTGCCACAGCACCATTGGATTTAAGCCCTTTGGCAAGGTTGAAATAATAGTGTCAACACGAATTAGCATTCCTATTTATGGAAGTTCTTGTTTTCTGGTCTGACATGATTAATTCCATGTCTCTACTAACTATTCTAATCTGGCAATAGCAAGTGCCTCAGTTCTCTATCCTCCTAGAGCAGAGGTCTCCAAACTTGGCAACTTTAAGACTTGTGGACTTCAGCTATGCTGGCTGGAGAATTCAGGAAGTTGAAGTCCACAAGTCTTAAAGTTGCCAAGTTTGGAGACCTCTGCTCTTGAGATAGCTCTTACCTGCAGTGCAGAACTGTTTGCTGATCAAGAGGAAAAAAATACTCATCCCTCAAGCAAGCAGACAAAATCAGTTAGACTTGTACAGCTTCTATAAAACGATCAAGTGGCTTATAATTAAGGCAGAATGCTACTGAGAATGCAGGTGTAACATTTGCAATGTTGAGTTCAATGAAAAGATCAAGCACTTTTCCCCTTGACTTTAAAAGAATTCAGGCTGGTTGGACAGAGGATGCACCAGCAGTTCCATTAAACAATGCTATTGGTATCTCCTAAACTTATTTTTTTCCAGAATGAGGCTTCTTTGCCCAGCTTAAGATCCCTTGAATATGCTCGTGTAATAACCCTGATTAATTCCTTTGCCCATAATGTGACAGAACTTTTTGACATGGTTTTTATTTGTACTGTCAGAGTATTTGTCAAGATCTAGTTATCAGACATATGCAATATCTTATCTGATTTAAGTACAAACCATCCTAGTCTGAACTGCAGTCCTAGCTATGTTCACTATCGTATTTGGCTCTTGTGAACCTTGAACAGGAACATCAAAATTGCTCTTTCAGCTTAGGAGACTGGCAGGCCTTTTCTGACTTAACAAGTTTTATTAAAAGACATAAACTTTCCTGAATTGCAAATCAGTTCATCAGATGCAACTTATAGATGGGCTTTCCTACCATCTTTTTCAGATCTAAATTGTTGTAATCTCTGAATTGAAAATGTCTTGAGATGAACTGTAAATGCTTATTCACAAACAATTGCTTTAAAAACTTGGAGGGCTGATCATTATAAGTCTACAAGTTTTTTTTTTAATTGCTTAGATTTAGCAGGATGCTTCCTTTGGATTTTATTGAAAAGTATGAATAGGTTTATATAATAAAAATATTTTATTTTATAATAAAAAAACTAAAATAACTATTTCATTCATCGAAAGCTGCTATAACTTCAGCATGTTTTATTTGTTTCCAAATAGCAGTCAATCTGGATCGGTGAGGTGGTATCTGTACTATACAGGAAGTTTTTAACCATGGTTTACAAACAGCATTGGAACTCAACTCAGCATCTGGTTGGCTTGCTGGGCCAAGCAGCTAAACAGGATCTAGCTTGATTAGTGCTTGAATGGGAATTTTCCAACATATCCCAGGTCCTTAGAAATAAAAAAAAATTGCCAGAAGGGAAATATTTCCACATTCCTTCTAGAAAAGAACCCATGGATATGTTAAGTTACTAGGTACAACTCAGCTGCAGAAGGCTGTTCTTTACAAATATGATTATGCTAAAACCAAATAAGCTTGCTATATGAACCCAATTAAGCCATTATATGAAAATTTTAATATGGTAAATACCAGTGTAACCCAAACAAAAGCTGAGAACAAAAAAGGTTTATGAAATACTAATCTAGATGATCCTTCATTTTATCTTTCCCCCGTCCTGGCATAGACAGTTCCTATAATTAATAACATATAACTGTTATACTGTATTTTGAGTACAACAAAGAAAGGCTAAGGAGATAGCACTGTTTATTTTATGGGACTTGGGACAAAACAATGGGTTTATGTTTAAATAATTGGGGAACAAGTGCAGAAGATATAAGAAAATGTAGCTGGCCATGGAACGCTCTCTCTCTCTCTCTCTTTCTCACACACAGACTCACAGACGTTTCTATTCACATATTCCAATTGCTTCATATACCAACTGCAAAGAGTACCTTTGTTGTTTGGAGGGAAAAAAGACACTGATTTGCACACCATTTCCGGCCATATTTTCTCTCTATCCATAAACTCAGTTCAAAGTTCAGCTTCTGAACCAGATGCAGAGTCTGAATAATCTGCAACCAGAGAAGCAGCAAAAGTAGAGGGGGGGCTCCCCACAGGCTTTTGGGAGCCACCTGAAGGTCCGGAAGAGTCAAATAACATTTCATTTGTTCCATTGTCCTGCCTGTTGACTTGTGCTGGGGCATCAAAGGTCTCCCCTTCACTGGATGTTTGCTTGGTATCCCTAGATTTCCGACACACGACACCCAGGCTGTTCAGAGGTACAAGGGACTTGCTAGATGGAGATTTCCCAACAAATGCCAACTTTTTCAGGGTGTCATTGGTTTTGGTACTTGAGAACCATGGGCGATCCACAATCTCATTGCGTTTTTGTTTCTGCTTGTCTTCGTAGGCTGAAAAGGAAGAAGTAAGCAAGCCACAATGACAGAAATAGGACTAACAGAGGTCTAGTTATGAAACTGAGCTCACTCTATTTGTATATTTCTGCATTTGGGATATAGGGTGAGCAGTTTTCCACCTCTATAGGGAAAAATCCTAAAAATAATCACTGCATGGAGGAAGATGACAGATTTTCAGCAATTAAAAATTACACTCACAACTGCAAAGGTGTAGAGTCAATTTACCAGCAAAATATACAGTATGTCGTCTTAAAATCAGTATTTATTAATATAAATACTTATACAATAAAGGAGATAAAGCAGCACTGTTTGGGAAGTGGGGGCAGCAATCCAAACCCACTTCTTAAAAGCAACTCCTTCTACAGTGCAGCCAACAAAATGTGACTGTCAGGATTCCAGCAGTTGCCCTAATTAAATCATGAGCCTCAAGCCAAGCTTCAAAAACTTCAAAGGATTTATTAGGAGTGAACATGTCGGCATGACCTGTATGAAGCTGATTCTGAGACACGTAATTTACTATCACCTATGACCCTGTTCCCCCCTCTGGATGTGTCATAATTCATATTCTCCAACGAAACACGTTCATAGTTGAGAGTCATCAATCACGTTCTCCATTTAGGGATTTTCATGGGCAGAAACTCCAGTAGCTTAGTTGCAATCTTTGCAAGGTAAGAATGGAATGCACTTTTGGTTTTAAACGGCTGCACTGCTCCTTCAAATTCCACCCCCCCCTCTTTCATAGCGACTAGGAATGTTTTATGAGTTGACAGTGACACTTCGTCAAGGACACATTCTTGAATGAGAAAGTCGCATCTCTAAGCCCCACATCCTTCCCCCTGCAAAGATCCCTTTACTTACAGTCAAGACTCTGGTATTTGAGGAGCGCTGCCAGATGCCGATCTTCTTCAGCTTCCTGCACAAGTGGGATGCTTAAATTTGCTCTTGCCTGCAAAGAAAGGTCTTTTTTCTCTTCTTCTTGCAGAACTTTCTTCTCTTCCTATTAGAAGGGAAAGAGGACAGAAGCAGCACGATGCATGAGGCACACCCACTACTACCATGAAGCCGAACAGACAAAAAAAAAAGCATAGGCCTAAGAGAAAACAGGTTTGAAAAATACAATACAGGAGAAAAGTGACACGTTTTTTAAATACTACCTCCAAAGAGCTCAGTTATCCCAAAGAAGCTTAAGAAAATTAAAGTAAGAACAAGTCCACAATTTTAATCCAAGATTTTCCTGTTCAGTCTTTTTTTGTTATCTGTAGTTACTACATTATGACTTACTATATAAAAACTGACTGTTATATAAGTGGCTTATGTAAAAGAACAATATAATAGTATAACATAAAATCCTGCTATCCTGAATTTGAAAATACTTCTATTACAAATTAAGAAAAAGTGCTCTTACAATCCATATAAAAATGTGGAGGTTTCTTTTAAAGCTTTTGAAAGGAGAAACAGGATAGAGATAAGATGGAAGAACGATGAACACAGAAACAATTCTTTTTTTAAAAAATGAGATGTACAATCATAGTAGGAAATGACAATGTTGAAAAGCTTATCAGTTTTTTTGAAAAAGAAAAATGTATTATGACTTGAAATGCAATTGCAGTTCTATTCTGGTTTCATTTGCTGACCTTTAAAAACATCATTCTAGGAATATTCAAAGGAATCCCTTCTCCCTTCCACTACTATAATTTCTCATTATTTACCCTGAATTTCCGCCGAAGGCGGCTGTTGAGCGCGAAATCATCCTTCCAGGCACTTTGAGCCTCCTGAATATTCTGGAGGGTAGGGAGAGCTCGCTGAAGCTTGCTCTGATCCTGTGTGCCGTGCTCCAATCGATACATAGCATCTGTCTCCAGCTTCTGCTTCTCCTCATGGGCTAGGAATCAGATACACGTATCAAGCCAAGCCTAGTTAAAAGAATGTTCAAGGATGCTACTGGTCCCAAAACTCACCTGTGGCCACTATTTGTTCGCTAGCTGCAGCATCCCAGCGCTCTTCCTTACGCCG